GAGTGCAATACGTAACTTTTCATCCCACCTCAGCGAGGAAATGACAAAATGAAAAAGAAAACAATTTATAATGACAAAATATTTAAGCAATAAAACGTGAAAAACTAGAATGGCGCGAAGCACGCAAATAAAACAAAGAAACCAAGAAGGTTCCAAATTTAAATTTTTTCACAATTTAAAAAGTTCTAATCATAAATTTGGCACCATAGAGGTTACATTAAATAGGTTTAATGACGTTTTGAATTTACAATTATATTGAGTACTCATTATATGTGATGTTCTAAATTCAAATCTACTTTGCCGCTCAAGCGAATAAAATAGAATTTTCCAGCCAGATTTCGAAGCGCAAAATTACACTTTCCGAGGTGGTGGGATGAAAAAGTTATTTAAATGTACAGAATATTTTAGATACATAATAAAAAAATATATGAAACAGAATTATACCAAGCATATGAAAATGTAAATAGTGTTTGTTTTGTGAATTCCAAGATGGGCCAATACATTGTGGGAGGGCCAACATATAGGGTATAGGGTCCCCAAGTTAAGCTTATTCTGGCTTACTTATTTTACTTTCTTCTAAAATATGTACGTAGGCAATATTTGTAGTAAGAATGAAATAAACTATGTAAACTGTTAAAGGAGATTGCTCAGCTTCCATACATGTTTGGCCTAAAGACCAATAATCATGAAAAATTGTTTCCTAGATTCGAAATTATATATAAATTACTGTAGAAACGAATATTATTGACGGACACCCCTGAGAACTTCTATAAATCATATACACTGAACATATTATAATAATAAAAAACAAATAAGTTATATAGTAACTAGGGAAATCAAATTATAAATTACGCCAAGAATTACCGTGTATGTCAATATTTTTTGTGCATTTGGGCCAATTTGAGCAATCTCCTTTAATGCCTAGAATAGAGATTCTTTTTAATTTAATCTCATGGAAAAAATATAGCATTGTGAGCACAGAAGTAAATCAAATTACATCAAAAGTTATTGCGTTGCGGAATATTTTACAATCATTCGATCCATCACTTTTCGCGCCGATTTTGACAGATCCCACCGATTCCGAATCGCGCGTTGTTTGCGAAATCAATGGAAATGTTCAAACACGTAATCAGGGCCATTGTCCGAATCGAGTTGATCCTTTTAGATCGGTCTCATCCATTTTGTGGTTGCGGTGACAGTCCTCTTTTTATACTAATCCAGGAAATGGATCAATTTTATTATGTTTTGTTTGGGGTTGTCTTTTTGTATACCTACCTAGATCTTTAATATTTTCTTCGAACACGCAAGCAAATTTTAAATATTAACTCCCTTTTTTTTGTTTCCGTTGCATCCACAAAAAGTTTATTGATTGTCATGAATTTTGGAAATAACATTAATTGTGATACAAAAAACGAAAAAAAAATTAAATATATAAAAAATAAAAATTTTCGTTAAATAAATGTAGTATATTTTTGTGTCCGAATTATAGTTGTTTTATTGAGTAACCAGTAATAATCAAGCTTTAGTTATATCATTGCGTAGTATGAAAAGTATAAAAATTACGGTTTACATTAAATCATAGAAACAGCTTGAACACTTAACGAAGATCTGCTGATTACGTTATAAACATGGGCATGTATTAAGCTTCTTTTAGTCGCTTGGCAACGTGGGGAATGGGTTCAACAATTCTACGATTTCGGTTTTAAGGCACGGCTTCAACTTCGAATTCTTCCTCTTCTGTTTTAGTGACAGGGCTATTTCGAGGGCTATTACGTCGAGTGATACGGTTCTCTGGCATTAGGTATAATGCCAGGGAGGGGAAACCAGCATGGTTCCCCCTCCCTGGTACAAATAAAAGTCCAGTGGAAGTTGATCACGGTTTTCCTTAGGTTTTTCTTTCACGACCTGCTTCATTTTATACTTTCCTGTAAACGGAATAATTTGTTCATCTATTGCCACATTTTGACCTCTTTGGTTTTGTCTACAACCGAGCTCAATAGTGGATACCAGAGGACCCATTTTCCAGAATCGGTCTACAGCTTTCATAGAAGATGTTACTAACTGATCATCAACAACTTTTATGTTGCTCCTCAACTGAAAATACCTATTTCGCGTCATAGCATTAGCCACTAATAGTGCCCTGGTTTCCGCAGCCTAGAACATACGAAGTTCGCATTTCTTCTGGGTTTGTATCTAAAGATCTACCAGTTCTGTGTATGCTGCAAACATTAGTACAATATGATATTTGTTAAAAAAAAACAGGTTTGATGTATTGTTAAAAGTATTCGTAGGAAGGTTATGAACTAGTAGTTGCATCAAGTAATGGTGGACCCTCATGAAGATTGTTTGAACGACTAAATCAACTTTTTGCCGAGATGCACAGCTATATTCTAAATTATATAATGGAAGGCGACTTCAGAATTATCCCTGAAGTCATTTTTCAAGTTGACTACTCTGTATATAAGAATACTAGTGGCCCGCCCTCGCTTTGCTTTGATGTAGAACTGTAGTGTAGACTATAGTTTTTGTTCAAAAGCTTGTATTATACACAATGACTTTCTTCATAATTAGTATAAAACCTTCCATTCCAAGTAAAACAATCGTTACGTAGTTTTGGACGCGTTGTACCGAAAGCAATATTGCTCTGCTGTTTAGATATGATTTGCTTTTTCAAATAAACGTACTCTATGGTGATGGTATGGTGATTTTATTGTTTATTTTTGTGTTTGCTTGGTTTTTGAATGTTAAAGAGAAGTTTTTTCTTTTCTCACTATGTCAGTTTATTATGAGGCAGGGTTCTGGTTGGCCGTTTGTAGATTAACTTTTATTTTTGTCATATGCTATTGTTATGATGGCCAATCAAGAATTTTTCATTACATTTAATTTTTGTACTGGACAGTGCATTTATCGAGGAAGGCTATAGGCTATATATTACCAGTCTAAGACCAGTAGCAGGGAGCATCGATGAAAAATGTTGCAAAAACGGGTAAAAATATTCCATTTGCAAGATTCCGTTACGTGCGCTGGGTAAACGGTTAAAGTTACACAGAAATCATGTATGACGGAATTCTTCGCCTTTAAAAGTTCTGTAAAAAAGTCCACGACAGCCTGTCTATATTTTAAGTTTGACTCACTATAAACCTTTTTCTTCAAATTAACGCCGGTGAAACCGCAGGGGACCTCTAGTTGTGACATAACTGTAATAGTTAGACATATGTTATCGCAGACTTTTTGTAGATATTAGTATCCTCTATAAATCTTTAGTACATCACTTTGCTCATTGTCAATGACTTCCGCAGCGTACGCGATATAAGGCTATTTTTGGTATTATTTACACACTTTGGGTTACATTATCGAAGTTTTCATACGGAACCCTAACTTTTTTGAAAATACCTATGTTAATCAATGATAGTGTAGCATTTAAATGGTGTTTATTTTTTTAAAAAATCGGCCAATTGCTTTTTGAGCCAATTCGTTACAAACGTACTTAAATACAAATCTTTTCTCTTTATAATATTAGTAAATAAGAAGAAAAAACAGCCCTTGCTGATTTTCTTGCCGGTTCTTCTCAGTACAAGGTCTCCCGCCGTAGTTTTGCGAACCGATGGTGTAGCTTCTCGACTTTCACAAGTGCTTGTAGCAGCCTAGACTGAATAAATGATTTTTGATTTTGATTAATTAGGTGAAGATCTGTTGTGTATTTTGGAAGCCGAAACGAGGAAAGTCTTTTCCCCTTAGCATGAACACCGCAATATGATATAAAATGCGTTTTTATCACGCTTAATTGTCAAATTACTATGGAGATTGACAGTTAGACGCGATATAAAATGTGATATAATGTAAATTATGGTGCTCATGGTACGAGGATTGGATTACAAACAGTGCATAATATTCTGTTTCGTTATTTAAAAAGAAATAAAACAAATGCATTCCAGCTAGGAGCAAATAATATAATAGTTGTAGTTAGGCCAACTCTATGTAAATAATCACCTCAACTGTGTTTGATTATATATATGATAATGTAAAATTCAACATAACAGTTGGTCTATGAGTGACTGAAATTTATTTATTTATTAGTATACAAAGTTTGACTATTCGTCGGTTAACTCAACTAGTTTTATAAATTACTTTTTCAGTGTATATATAAATGAACCGCCGAAAAGTTTGTATGGTTTGTATGCTCATCACTTGCAACGACTGAACCAAATTGGATAATTCTTTTTTTTATAGTGTTCGTTATTGTCGGAACAAGGTAGAAACAGTAAAAAGACCAAATAATTATTTATATAATCACTTTTAAAGAAAAATTACTGGCTATCCCTAAAGAATTTACTTTTTCATAAAATAAATCGTAATTTAATGTAATTATGTGAGCAATATTCAGTATTCAATATTTCATGATTAATTGTATTTCTATTTATACAATTGGGCCATTTTTGTATTTTTTTTAATAAATGTTTAAGCAAATTTTACTAGAAAATAATTATTATCCACTCTGACAAGACGTTTTTGTAGTTATAACTTTTAAGGCATATAAATGTAGTGGTTTAATGCATAGTAATAATCACGCATTGTTATATTATACATTAAACTGCTACATTTAAATTTTGATATTTTATATTTTTTTCCGAAAAACGTTTATGTAGTTTTTCAATAACACAATTAATTTGCAAAATTTTCACAAGAAAAATGACGATCAAAAGAAAGTTTTAACAGCCGCAAACGGTGAATCACCAAAATTAATCAACATCCCGCTGCGAAGAAGGGGATTGTCTATTCTCCCATGAACCGTTACCCATATCGCCATGTACTCACGTGAGTATGTACCATAAATAAGAGACCGCAACAATCGCCAGCCATTAGAACAACCAGCTGCACGCGAGCAGTCGAGTGGAAACCACGGCCCAGCCCCGCCTCCCGGGCGCGCACAAAAATCAACATAAATAACAATACACACCCCCATCTCAAACACTATGACAGCACGGAGCAAGAAACACACTAACGATCACTCTGAAACCATGAAAAACACCACTCAAACTAAACACAATAAAGCACAAAATAACTCAACAGGGTAAAGCAGATAAACAAAACAGTTCCCGACCCTTAAAGTGTGCAACAATTGAAAAATATTTCGTCTCTTTCATCCCCTGAATGGCATCGGCTATCCCTCTACTCGCAGCGTGCTTTTAATAAATTTATTGTTAAAGAAATGTATATAAAAGTTGTCGAAATGAAAAAGGGGTCCCAGTCAGTGACTTGTGACGCGTGTGACTACACCCTGTGTGAAATGATGTCCGTAGAGCAGACCTACTCGAGGCTTTTTAGGCCGTGGGACGTCAGTGATAGAAACAATGTAAAGCAAACAAACTTAGACTGTGATAAAACTAATTTGTATGACGTCAAAGCGAAGAAAATCAAATCGGAGGAGAAACGAGAGAATCGCCTTAGGAAAATTCGCGGTACATTCAAGAAGGCTGAAGCTAACGTCCATCAGGATGCTACCGTTTCAACGACCACTGCTGACGCCGAGGAAGATAAAAAAACGAGTTTGAATATTCAAAAATGTGAAACTTACGAATCGCCGGTAGCGAGTTTGAGCTTGTGCTGCGATAGATTACTCGAGGAACCGAAAAAGGATCTAAGCAAGAACAAAGAATGCATTAGTTACCCATCCAGCATACCTCCAGCAGTGATGCCGCAAACGATCTACAATCCAGCTTTTATACCGGATTATCTCCCCTCAGCGGACATCGCACAAGCTCTGGGAGTGCCACCAACAGACCCGTTGCTTTTAGAATCACTAGCGCAAGGATACGCGATGGAGCTGGAGTATGCGAGAATACTGCAGCAAGAGAACGAGGCAAAGTTGCTGAACGCGAGAAAACAGCGGCCGAAAAAGTACAAGTGTCCCCATTGCCAAGTAGGTTTCTCGAATAACGGCCAATTGAAAGGCCACATTCGGATTCACACTGGTGAGCGACCTTTCAAGTGCGACGAGAAGAATTGCGGCAAGACCTTCACGAGGAACGAAGAGTTGACGAGGCATAAGAGGATACATTCGGGAGTTCGGCCGTTCCCTTGCCCTACTTGCGGTAAGAAGTTCGGGAGGAGAGACCATTTAAAAAAACACACAAGGACGCATTACATGCAAGCGGAGAGAATGATGCCGGTTTTCGTGCCTCTATCAGCCGTACCTCACGCTTTTCCGTATTTATATGGTTACTAACCCATGCTCTTTTTGATACTTAGTAAAACTTGTTTACTCTTTAATAATAAACAGAAGAATATTGAATAATATGAAAATGATGGTTTTATATGTAAATCACTAGCTTTTGTAAAAAGTATGATTATAAATAATTTAGAATAGAGAGATAGCAAAATAAATAAAGAAATATTCCCTGTTATATAAATTGTAGATATTTTAATGTTTGTAAGTTAATATGAATATTTTTGATACGAAGACACACTAGGTATTTTAAGGTTGGTTGAGTGAAATAGGTAATTATGTCTTTTTTTATAATACATTTGTTCGTAAATTTAAAATAAACACGTGAGATCCTAATATCTTATTTTTTTAATTTTCCTCTCGACATATTTTGTTTAATTGAATATAAATAAACAAATTGAATTTCGGAAATTCATATCCAGTTTTTCATCATTCCTATTTTTTTTCTGCAGTCCTACAGGTAAATTACCTTAATTATAAGTTAATATTATTACGTTGAATAATAGTATAGTGGTAGTGGATTTTTTACAATTCTCTGCGAATGTTGTGCGTAGCGTTTTTTACTGCTAATGCTTGTAAACATGTGCTGCAATGCGAGATAAGTCTGCTCTGTACCCCTAGCACGAACCAATGTCGAATTCGAATAGTTTTCAAACCGAAATGTCAATGTCCAATTTTGTATGGAAACTTGAACAGCAGCGGCACAAAATACGTAACGAGAACTAAAAATCAGTACACATTTGACAATGACATTTCGGACTCGCAAACGATACGAATTCGATATTGGTTCGTGCTAGGGGTACTGAACTACTTTACTATTTACTATAGTCTCTATTCTCTATTTGCTGTGCCCTGTTCAGAGTCTGCAATGATCAAAGCAATGTATCTACTTGAATCTAAGATAACATTGTAGAACGCAACAAAGTATTGATTGATTGATAGTGATTAACTTTAATCGCACAGTGGTGTCGATTCTGGCATGATTCTCTAAACTTAAAACAAAATTATTTGACATCAGTCTCTCCTTTTCTTTCTTTAAAGACAATGACAAGGATACACTGTTGTCAAAATTAAGTTTAGGTTTAGTAGAGAATAATGTCATAATCGACACTACTGTCTGTCTGAACTATAAGACACGTGGTTTTTCTCAGTATACTGTCCCCTGCTGTTGGTTTGCGAATCTATGGCATAGCATTCACTAATAATAATTACATATAATAGCCTAAACTAAATAAACAATATTGAATTTTGTCTTGATCAGTTTTCTTGATTAATTTAACAAGATTAGTAAAAAAATTTAGGTCGTTTGGTTTCAATTACAAACTTAAAGCAAACATTCAGCTAGCGATATTCCAAGATCAGAGATATAAATAGGTAATATATATTATGGATTTCAGAGAGGTACATAAAATTAAAGTAATAATTATTATTCAATAAAGAAAGTATTCATTCAATAATAACTTCTTCCAATACGAGCCATAATATACATATATTTTTCTTATAAAATATCTAATATAATATTGTTACGTGTCGGGATGGGGTTCGAAATTATATTCCAGTTCACGCTTGACAGTACTTTATTCACTACACAGTTTACACAATATATTAATTACAATACACTGAATAAACACTGTATTTCACTATACAAGTCTTAAAACAATCGCACTTAAACACTTTACATGCACTTTGATCGCCTTTGTATTCGTTCCGAAATCGCTGTTGAAACTCAACTGTCTCTGCGCGGGAATATCATAAATTTATTACTCACTTAGAATCACGCTAATATTATAAAGACGAAAGTTTGTGAGCTAAATGGCTGGAGCGATTTTAATAAAATTTGGTATGAGTAGTCTGTGTTAATCTAGGGTAGATTAACACATACGCTACTAGCGTATCGTTACGTTTTACTGAGGGAAAATATCCCTCAAAACCGCAGGTAACACCGCGGGGCACAGTTAGTATGTAATTTTTAGTCTAAGTTTGATAATTATAAACATAATTATTAATCTCACATTTTATATATATACTAGCTGACCCAGCGAACTTCGTACCGCCCTAAAAAAATAGGGGTTGTCCAGCGGACAAAATTGTGAATCTAAACCATTCTCAGATCCCCTTGAACACACACAAAAAATTTCATCAAAATCGGTCCAGTCGTTTAAGAGAAGTTCAGTGACATACACACTCACAGAAGAATTATATATATAAAGATATATATATAGGATGGTAGGCAAATGACTCTACCCCACCTGATGTTAAGTGGTGAAGACAAGACAGAGACGAAGACAGCTGGTACATTTATTTATTAGTTTGTGAATCCGGGATAATAAGGTCTTATTACTGGACACGGGACAACACTCAAAATTCCGGGATAATCCCGGAAATCCCGGCCATCTGGCCACCCTAAGTGTTGACCATCATCACAAAAACCAGTAAAAAATATTAAACAAATGAATTTTACAAGTCTTTTATAAGTATGTATTCGATTCAATCGCGCAAAAACTATTGAACGGATTTGGATGTAATTTGGTACGCATATAGTTGTATGACCTGAATTGAGAGATATGATACTTTATCCCGGTAAAATGAAAAAAGTAAAGTCAACTAAAGCGGACGAAGTCACGGGCGGCCGCTAGTAATAATATATAGCATAGCATTGGCCGGTGTATTATAGTAAGTTAGTATTTATTATAAAATATTGCTAGTTGCAAAAATATAATAATAGCCAACAAATTCATACAATTACACACAAGTCAAGATATTATTTGTCTATGACCTGATTTTTATTAAAAAAAAGTTTGCTATTGTACTTTATAAAATCATAAACAAAAATTTATGAGATTTGTTTCTTAGGTTTTCACGCACATCACTCATTAAATAAAACAAGTTTCAACGGGTTAGATACACTGATTTTATTTATTTACGTGCGTCTACACAGAGCGAGGCAGCTCGGTCAATGTAGACGTGCCTCGGCTGAGGCAAGCGTGCGCGCTGCCGCGGGCGAGCGACAGAGCGCTCGAGCCATCGAGTGCCGGTTTTTTGTTTTGCTCACCTTTGAGCGTTTGCCACGCGCACTCTGGACGCTCGCGTATTTTGTTTCGTGCCTCAGTCGAGCATAATAATTATGAATAAATATCAGTGTTTAAAATTAATATCTCTCTATGGTGTAAACCCCTGGCTATGGAGTGCAAGTGATCCTAATTATACAAATAGAGAACTTAGGGAAGATGCCTGGTTAAATATTAGTCACGAGATGAATGTCCCGGTTCCTGATTTAAAAAAGAAAATGGAGTCACTGATGGGATCTTTCAGGCGGAAAAAATCACGAGAATGAACGCACGAAGAAAACTGGCTCAGGTTTGCCGCGCGCGGCAGCCTCGCGGTGACACCGAGGCTGCCGCGCTCATTCAGGGACAGTTTCCTCGCGCGGCAAATGCCTCGCGAGGCTGCTCGCTCTGTGTAGACGCGCCTTGACGTTTCGCATCTTTTGCAGGAATGCGTCGTCGGAATAGACGTCAATAATTAAATAAATTCAGTGCATCTAACCCGTTGAAACTTGTTTTATTTAAAAAATTATGATTTTTATAAAAGGCTACTTGCTTTTAATAAGCAAGAGATAGGGGTGCAGAATGATATCGGGTATGGAACAAGAAGCAATAGAGCAGTCAATCAGTTTGTGTACACACATTTTAGAAAAACGACTTCCAAAATGCATAAAGACTACGTGGACTCTGTTTACATTATTTGCGACGATTTTGTTAAATTAAGGGTCAATAAAAATAAATTCTTTATTAATTTCTTCATAAGTAAAAAATTTAGTTTATCCTGTAATTAGATTTAGTTAAGCTTATGACGCTTCATTTTAACTTCCTTTTCGGAATTACGACAAAATATAGCCGTTACGTGAGGATATACTAAATTTCCATGTTACTTTTGTTACGCAGCACTTTCAAAGTGCCATTAAGAGAAATATACTATCAATTATAATGGGCTTTGTGCATATTTTAATGGTTCCTTTGCATAAAACATTAGGGTTGAATGAAAAAAATTATTAAGTTTTTCCCTCCAAAATTGTGAAGACATTTGTTCCTGAATTTTCAGACACGAATAAAATTAAATACCAAAATATCGATTTTTTGATTAATACCTTTTTTATATTCCTAGACTCGATTTCATTGTTTTAAGTAAATAAAAGCGATATAAGTAGTAAAATAAATTAATGTTTCTATTCTTGTTTTATACAACTCAAAGATAAAAAAAAAACAAGAAATTTTCTATGAAATTTAAAATTTCACTCTGACAGCTACAAAAGCAAACTTTATGAAATTAAAAAATTGTTTCTTACGTTAATTAGGTTTAAGAAATCAAAATAGGGCACACAGAACTCGAACTTCAAATTCGTGATGTCTTCAGTGCATTTGTAGATACGCTTTACTTTACGAAGTCATCAGTGTTCTTGCTCTATTCAATGGGATATTTTAGTATGTGTAATGTTTTTGCAATATATTTACTAACATGGTTTATCAACACATTATTGTAAAAGGTATTTATATTAATAATTTTTAAAATAAATATAATTAAATATTTTCAGCACTCACACCGATTAGCCTAGCCCCAAAATAAGCACTGTAAGGCTTGTGTTAAGGGATACTAGGGTAACAGATAGAATACATATACTCTATATATAAGAATACTTATATAGAAATACACACTGAACATCCATGACTGGAGTACAAATGCTCGTATTCATCACACAAACATCTGCCCCTACCGGGATTCGAACCGGGATCTCAAGAGTCGGCGACACCATGAAACCCGGCGTACAAACCACTCGGCCACGGGGGTAGTGTGATAAAATACTGTTTATATGTTTTTATTTTAACATCCTTTTTCCATTCCTTTAAAATCGAGAAGTTGAGAACGTAGTAAGTATTAAACGAAGTCTGTAACTATTAAATAAGTTGTGCCGAAACGTAGGAACGCGTCTTAAACTGTGTTTTATTATGTGCTAGTGAAAAGATAAAGAAAAAGAAAATTTGTTTTTGTAATTTAGTGTTTAGGAAACATTGAAAATATATCTAGA